CCTGTCTGACAGTCAGTACCCGTAAATCCTGCAACACATGTACAGTTGTATGAGTTGACGTGGTCTTGACATGATCCTCCATTTTGACAAGGATTAGAAGCACACTCATTGATATCTGTTTTAAGACTAATAAATGAGTACCGATTGCAGGCAATAAAAACCCGACGTATTCCTAATGTGAAAAAAAAAAATTAAGCCTAATATTAAACTTGATGGAAGAAAACTCACGATTTTCACACGAATTTCCCGTGAATCCAGGTTTGCATTCGCATCGGTGGGTTTCTTGTGCAAAATTGTACCTGCAGATGGAATGCTTTGAGCATTTGCAATTATTCTGCAGAGAAAATGAATGAAAGAACCTATTTAGCTAGGTGGACGATATCCATATATTCCTGGTGCAATACCTTAACATGACAACTTACTCGTGGTTCTTGGGATTTTGTGTCCTGGTGCAATACCTTAACATGACAACTTACTCGTGGTTCTTGGGATTTTGTGTCCTGGTGCAATACCTTAATATCACAACTTACTCGTGGTTCTCGGGATTTTGTGTCCTGGTGCAATACCTTAACATGACAACTTACTCGACCTTAATTAACATGACAACTTACTCGTGGTTCTTGGGATTTTGTGTCCTGGTGCAATACCTTAACTTGACAACTTACTCGTGCTTCTCGGGATTTTGTGTCCTGGTGTAATACCTTAACATGACAACTTACTCGTGGTTCTTGGGATTTTGTGCTTGTTGTTTTTTCGTTTCACTATATCTAGCGAGCCATGGTGACAGTATACCTTTCTACCTTCGGTGTAATGTTTTGCTTATTTCAGACAACGCGTCATTCCCTTGAGTATCATTTCTTTGTTTGGATGCAAATGAAACATATAATCCTATTCTTATTATATTAGGATATTTTTAATTACCTGTGCACTTTTGTAAGTTGTGTTAAGTCTGTCCACTAGATCTTCAGGGTACATTACGTGGTCCGAGTCATTCAGTTCACACATACGTGTCTCGTTATTTCTACTCATACCAAAATTGTATGAAATGCAGTGATCGTCCAAGAAGCAAAATACTCTACACTGAAAATCGTCGCWGGCYATTTCAGTTTTAAAGACATGGTTYTCCAATGCTTTGTCTTGGATATCAACCTTGAATACCATAACTTTGCACCCCTTGGTGTCTGAGACTTGAGAATACATTCAAGTAAGAAAACCATTCATGAGTTRTAATAAATGTTCATAGGCGTTGACGGGGATTGATTGAATGGTAAATAATTGTCTTACAAGTAGTACTGATTCAATTACGACTGACCACATATTTTAGAATCAATCATATCCATTTTGTAATCACTACCAAATCCTGCAATCTGATTGGTTCAAAAGAGTGCGATTAATTCCCTAATCATATTCTTTTTGTAATCACTACCAAATCCTGCAATCTGATTGGCTCAAAGGAGTGTGATTAATTACCAAATCGCATCCTTAGGAGCTCTTAATCGCATCCTTTTGAGCTCTTTATCGCATCCTTTTGAAAGAACCAATCACAGAACGGAATTATTATATTCAGCCAATCAGAGAGGAGAATGATTAGAATTATTTATGAATATTTAATGATTTGCTGATAAATCGTTAATTTTATACCAGGAAAAACCGGATTGATTTACTTCTTCCTCTACATTAATACACTCTTTATTGTGTCTTTTTCTTGTGTATGATCAAAATATGATTAAGTGGTAATTAAACTTCGTTTCGTGCAATTTTGGACCAGAATCATACTTGTGATTAACAAATTGCACTCCCGCTACGCGGTTGTGCAATTTTGTATAATCACTCGTATGCTTTTGGCCCAAATTGCACTCCACTCAGTTCAATTACCATCATAAATCGCATCCTTGAAAGCTCTTAATCGCTTCCTATTTGAGCTCTTAATCGCATCTTTTTGAAAGAACCAATCACAGAACAGAATTTTTATATTCAGCCAATCAGAGAAGAGAATGAAACAAGCTTTTTCAACGCGTTTGCTAAGTGCAAATTTGCAAATTAGCATTATTTAAGAATATTTAATGATTTGCTGATAAATCGTTTATTTTATACCACTGAGGAAAAACCTGATTGATTTGCTTCTTCTTCTACATTAAATTGATTATTCTACACTCTTTATTGTGTCTTTTATTGTGTATGATTACAAAAAGGATATGATTAAGTGGTAATTGAACTTCGTGTCGTGCAATTTTGGACCAAATTGCACTCCACTCACTTCAATTATCATCTGATTATTAATCTTTGAAAACGCACCTTTTTCTTAGTAATTGATATATATTTAATCATAGCTTACAGAACTTTATTAGTCATATATTTGTTATTATATATCAATATCTTGTTATATATTTTTCTCATAATATATTATCCTATATTATTATCATTATATTATCAGCTAATATTATTAACAATATCTATCATTATGCATACATCTGCAATCAAAAACCGCGTCTTCTGATTGCAAACTACCTCAGGAAGTTGGTTTACTATTGCAACTAAGAAAAAATGCCGTTATAACTCATTATTATTATTTTTAATATAATGTTTTTTTATATTTTCTTTGTTTTCTTATTTTACTCAACAATGCATTCTTCTTCTTCTTCTTAATATTATTATTATTATTATTATTATTATTATTATTATTATTATTATTATTATTAAGCTTAATTAGCTTGTAATTCTTTTCCTTGAAACATGATCTGCAAATTTGTCAGACTAGGGCCCCGTCCACACTATGCCGGATAAAATTTGAATCCGAAACTTTCACACCGAAACCGAAAACGCTTCATTGCACATCTGAGGAGATGCATCGAAGCTGAAATTGAGCCCGCGGTGAATTGTTAGCCTTCCCGCCATGTTCCCATGACAATCATGACGTCATCGTATTCGAAAAGTTCCGGATACGAAATATTCTCCGTCCACTCTAATACGGCTAGCCGGCATTTTCAAATTGTTCCACTCTGGAGACCGTATTCGAAAAGATCCGTTTTCGCAGTGAAGAATTGATTCGTCCGGACTGGTGTGGAAGGAAAGACTAACCGGATAAATAAAGTTGCGGATTCAAATTTATCCGGCATAGTGTGGACGGGGCCTAGTATTGAGATACTTTCTCAAATAACGATTTTTTTGTCGATTAGTTTCTTTGGTAATATGACACTTTGATTGCTCAGTGTCGCAATACTCATGCCCCTGATTAAGAAAAAAATCTGCTAGCCCTATTGGTAAACAATTAATAATTTGTTAAGAGAAGAAAAGGCCAGAATAATCACTGATGCCGGCTTTTTTTAAAGGGTCCAGTAATCTTTGCATATATATATTTTTTACATCGTATAGACTAAGTAAGAAATGAAGATTTTATACCTACCCATCGTAAAGATGATAAATCCACCAAGAAAGTAAATGAAGAAATAAGTTCGACACTGAAGCTCCAAAGAATTCTTTGTCCGTTCCATTTACGGGACAAAAATGACGATTAAACCAGATTAGAAAATTGCAGAAATTTGAAAATTTCCTACTCCGTTGCTTGGCAATAAGTCCTGAAGTATCTTTCGTGTCTTTTCGTATAATTTTTAGAATATCGAGTCTTAAGATATCAGTCACTTCAGAGTCATTTAAAGAAAACCGGAAAATCGGTCTATGCCTATACGTTTTTTGCTTTTTTTTCAAATTTAAAAACTTTTAGTAAAAACTCCTATTTCATTGAAACGTTGGCATTAAATACGCCTCCGAGTAGATGCTCTCAAACGAATGAAGGAAAAATGGAAAACGACTCTTCGTGATAAAACTTTGTAGATCGTCATAACATGGTTATTTCCATGGAAGTTTCTTTTAGGTTTTTAAAACATTGAATGACTATTTGTCTTTAATTTTCCTTTTTGATTGGTAATAACTTATATGCTTAGCGATTGCTAATGGTGTGATAAATAAACTCAACTTTTTTTCATCTACAACCAATTGGAGTAGTTCTTTTTGTCAATCATACTTGAAATTTTGAGGATCTAATCCTTACTAATTGAGACAATTAGTCTGGGAAAGAAACAGCTGCACCAAATTAAAAGGGCGCCATGTACTCTAAATTCATTGAATCAAAACCTTCTAGAAAATTACTTGAAAAGCCTTTTAATGTAGAAGACAAAATTTTTCAAATAATAAAACTTCTAAATTTACAACTTATAAAGTTCTATACCATCAAGTAAGGTTAGATAATATATCAGTCTTGAACGCGAAAACTCTCCTGATTTGTGGATCGTGACAGACCCATTTGCATAATAATTTAATTTAATTTCAGTTATATGTACGTACATCTGCACCGGAATGAAACAAACACTCAATCCGTCTGTCCAAGCCCCATTGACCAAAAGATCGTTATGTAAAAGAAGTATAAGTATATTTATACTTTGCAGAGTGGCAGATTAATAAGCTTTTAATATTTTTTCCTCCAGTGAATATAATAAATCAGACGCGCTCATTGGTCATAATTTACGTCTTATTCTGCTATAGTCACCTAGAGTTGAATATAACTCACGCATGCGCACGCTCGTTTGTCGATTTGTCTCGCTTGTAGAGATAAATAGAATTTGAAGGGGGGAGAACCTTTCTCTCAGTTATTTATTAAATTCACTTGTGTCAAAAATACTGAAACAGTTATTCGCCGAACGCAAAAGAGTGAATATCGGGGAATATTTACTAGTGTGGAGTGGTTGTGACACTTACTACAGAAGTCACGTGACACCAGGCATCCTGTGTCTGCACCTTTGTACACTGTTCTCTACTTTTCTTTTGGGGGTATTTTATTTGTCTATGGTGTTCTCTGAATCGAGGTCCAGTGCCATAATATAATTGCCTCTTTGTCTTCTTTGGTGGGTTCCACGAATGGAAACAACACTGTTCCAGCCATTTGCCAAGAGACATTACCTCAGTTGTGCGTTAAAATATTCAGCTATTCAACTAAAACCCGTGGAATCTTAATCAACTTGTATTTTTCCATAGTACGTACATTCCTTACTATATAATGTAAATTAATAAAAGAAAAGAAAAATCGAGGCTAAGACTGAGCAGAGGCGAACTCGAAATGGGGGTATTTAGGAGTAACATTTGGGGGTCTGGGACCAACTTTGAAAAATTAGAGGCAAATGTACCCAATAGACCTCTTCGGAAAATGAACAGGCAAGTAAGGAAGACGAAGAAAAAGAAGACGAGGAAACAGAAGAAAAGGAAGAAGATGAGGGAGAAGAAGAAGAGGGAGAAGACGATCAGGAAAGAGATGACGAGGATAACGAAGACGATGATGAAGAAGAAAGCCACGACGACAATGAAGACGAGAAACAAAGTAGTGGTGAAGGGGATTCTACTCCTATGGAATCAAATAGTGAAGAAGATGACGAATAGAACGTACGTTTATTAGCCTTATTGTTTTACACAGCCTACAATCGAAGGATAAGAAGTAACCTTGATCTTTTTCGTTTCTATTCAGTCGTGCTTTTTATGTGCTGAAATCTTTTTTCAACCTTTGCTGGTGGTACTTTTCCAGTGAATTTCTTATCTGCTAAGCTCTTGTCCAAGGGAAAAGTATAACAATTTTCTTACAATATATGTGCAGGTGCGCTTAGACGTAAAAAAAGTCCAGTTAATAAAAACCGGCCACATAAAATTGACAAAAGCCTTCTTAGCGACTAGAGTTTTTGGCCCATTTTGGCAAACCTGGCCCGGTTTTGTGCAGAACGATTCACTTGTATTTAGGAACTACCTTATAAGAATCAGTAAAGGACGCAGCAGCTAGTAGGTAGCGGTAGCCTTTACTACAGACTACGAAAATGTCGCCGAAAAGACATGCTTGTCTTTGGTGAGAATGTTTGCGAAAGGTCACAAGAGAAATGCGAGGAAACGACAAAAATATTGTCATATCTGCAGTTTGCGGGAAGAAAATACGTCCGTTTATAAAAAACTCTATTKATTATTTGCTTCACGCGCCATTCAAACTTTTTCAGTCCCCATTCTGTAAAGCGCTTTGTGTTTTCGATTTCGTTCAGTTGCTCCTGGTCTACATCTGAATTCTGGCTGTTGATTAGTAGGTTATAACTTGGAAATTAAATTCTTCAAATTCCAGGTCAAAATTTTCCCACAATTAAAAGAAGCAGTCTTCAAAACACTTGGCATAGACTGAACTTACAGTCGAGTAAATAATCTGCTTTCATTTTGTGTGTGTTYGATATTGTGCAGTAAACTGATAGTCAATAGACCTCATAGCTTGGGTGTAATGTTTAGCCCATTTCAGACCAAGTGTCATTCTCTTGAGTAGACATTTCTTTATTTGGATGCAAATGAAAAAAGAACCCTATTTGCAAAGGGATGTCACGTGGTCTAAAATGGACAAAACAATCGCCCAAGCTAAAGACGACGTCTATTTTAATTAACATTTGAACCCGAAGCTAAATGGTCTACGCGTCAATAGCATATGAGGTCTAAGGCCGAATGGGCTATTGACTTGTAGACCATGAGGACGGAGAGCTCTAATTGTTTTAGTCTAAACCTTCTAATAGCCTATCACAAATCCTGCCCTCTGATTGGCTTTGCTTCTAGTGGCTATTAGTGATAGACTAGTAAACACAAACACAATATTTCATTTGAAGTTTTTTATGTCCTCTCCACCAGCCGGTTGAGTCGTTCCGCCGCCATGAATGAGTATTACACATTCTGCTTCTTAATCAAGACATCGGCACACGTTTGTCCATCGTTGTTACCATCTAAGATGTTTGTCAGATCTTGATCCACCCATATCCTGAACTTCTTGCCTGCTGTCACTGCTAGGGGAGGTGACAACTCAGGGAATGTAAGTTCTCGGTCCATGTTGGTCACACCTGGCAACTCATACATCATGAAATTGAGATCAATATCAAGCAGTGGAAAGTCACTCGGTGGACTGATTCTATTGTTACTATCATCCGTGATGTGTAAATTAAGATGTTTGTTGTTGTTTTTATTAGTAGTTCCCCAATAGGCTTTGGTTTCTCCAGTTTTCCACGATATTCCACCTCCAGACACATAAACAAGTTTGAAGTTTAAGACATGGCAGGCAACTGGAATAGTAAACCTTCCAAACTTATCATCTTTTGCTCCAATACACACTGTAGTACCGACTTTGAGCCATTCTACAATGCAATGATTATTACATCTTATTAGGAGTATATCCCTCATGAACATAAACGTTTGGTACGATCAGTCTAAATTTCCCTCATGGAAACTATCATATATGAGAAATAATACCATGATCACCTCGGGATCTATTGTTTTTGGAGGGACGTTTAATGACTAACATCCCTCCTTTATGAATAACATGAGGGAAAATTAGTTCTAATACTCCCTCATTAATTATGGATGAGGACGTATTAGAACTAATACTCCCTCATCCATAATTAATGAGGGAGTATTAGAACTAATACTCCCTCATGTTATTCATGACCTTGTCCCTCATATCACAATCATCGGGACTCTTGGTCGGTCGAGGTAGACCGACCGGCTCGCAAGCATCGGGCACCGAGTCTAAAAGACCCGGTTCCAAATCATATACAGTGCTAATTAGATAGTATCTCATCCTGGTGAGGTAACTATTCAGTGTGGGATAGAGGAATTGCTATATGCGCTTGATTAAACATACACACTAGATCAATTTTTGGTTTTTGCGTTTATTTATTTACTAATAATTCACACAGAAGAAATGATTGTAATATATACTTCTGTCYTATTTAGTGTTAAACAGACTTTTTTTTTTATTGCGCATGCGTATTAACCTTGATAGTGATTGTGACATTGTTTAAAGTTGCTCCTTGCAAAACTCCTCCCAAATTAACTCCCGTGCTCAATTTCTCTGTCTTCTCTTCATACTCTTCACATGCTGAGACATACATACATACATTTTATTACAATTTTTAAATAACATAAATTACATGCATAAATCTTGACCCGCATTTAGCTATGCTAGTCTAGGCGGGCCAGATTATTAAAATAATACTAACTATTGAAAAAAGACAAGCAGTACATTTGTAATTTGACTATTACACTTTATTAGTTACACTTTGTTTCACGGGTTTATGAAAACCACTCTAAATTAGTTTTCAAGTCATTCTACGTTCTTTTACTTCCTCGGAAATCATGGTATTACAAAGTAATACCATGGCATCTTCGGGATATTAGGGATTAAATGCCTCCTCAGCCTCCGGAGGTTTAGTAAAAGTCCCGAGACTTCCAGTAAACCTCCCTCGGCTTCGGGGACATTTAATCCCTAATATCCCTCAGTGCCATGTTATTTCTTATAATAATAACAACAATAAAGCCTTTATTTATTGAGGGTAATACTAAACAGTCCTAAGGTACTAATAAACTCGTAGTCCTCCTAACAATTAAAACTAAAAAATATCAATATCTACCATGTAAAATATGTATAAAAACATTAGAACATATGTCAAAACATAATATCAAAACAAAAAGGAAAACAAAAACAAATTCTTACTGACAAAATAATTTACGCCAAAATTTACCAAAGAAATATTTTGAATAATTGAACAATTCTCACCACAGTCGGCCCCAGTAAATCCTGCAGGACATGTACAGTTGTATGAGTTGACTCGGTCTTGACATGATGCTCCATTTTGACAAGGATTAGAAGTACACTCATCGACATCTGGTTTTGAAATAAATGTTTTGTTATTGATAAATTTGTACTTTCTTTCGCGAATATCTTCAAATATTGATTCGAATTCACCTGTCTGACAGTTTATCCCAGAAAATCCTGTAGCACATGTACARTTGTATGAGTTGACTCGGTCTTGACATGATGCTCCATTTTGACAAGGATTAGACGCACAATCATCGATATCTGATGTAAAAAATATAAGGAAATGAAGCCCGAAAATTAAACAGACGCTGATAGGCCCTTTGCAAAATTGTACTAATCATATGCTGAAAATTAAGCCGTGCATTCGATATTAAAAAAATAAATAACAAATAATAAAAATCAATGCGCTTATAAACCATTCATGTTTCATTGCGTCATTCAAAGGTTTAGTACTTTTCTGCATATCATTAGAAATTTAGACAGACTATCATGCACAAATTTTTTTGGTAGCGACTGCATGGCAACTGACTTTTTGAGATTTTATTTGAACGCGCCGCACAAGGCAGTAAAAACACTGTGACCTGTACGAGTCCTTTAACCTAAAACTACTTCTCAAAAACGTTTTTCCTGAGGGCTGCTATTACTTTTTTGCAGTTGGCCGCTCACATAAAATTTTAAAAGTAAACTGCAGATCACATCCTTCATAAGAAGCTCATTCATCGCAGTTCATGGGTACTTATGAGTTAATACTGTAATTGCACTGCCAGATTAAACAGTTATTGAATGAGACTGAGAAAGTTATATTAGTGATGTCAGTGATGTCCCGACGAGTGCAGGCGATGAACGTATGCGCAGGGCGGGAGGAGGGAGGGCGCCCTGGTATGCGCAAAGGCAAGCAAGTCATTGGCTCCCACATTCCATACATTGTGGACCGTACAATATATCATCTATTTTATCCGATGGTGCAATATGGAGACAGTTTACTTACTCGTTTGGCATCGATCCCCAGTAAATCCAGGTAGACATTCACAGCGATGCGTATTGTCAGCAAAGTTATATCTGCATGTCGAGTTTTTAGGACAGTCGCAGGTGTTCTAAATCATGAAAAGAAATTTACTACAATGAAGAAAATTCTTGGCTGTAATGAGACGTCATTTCTATTAGTCGTTTGGAGGTTGAGGAAGAAACTGGATCGAGTTGGCATTACGGTACATTGTGGTTATGTTTTAGGGGGCGCAATAGACGCCATCTTGAAAATACGTCTCCTAAAACAGCCTCACAATGTACCGCAATGCCAAGTCGGCCCAGTTTTTTTCTCAACCTCAGAAAGCTAATATACCTTCACGGTTCAATTTCACGAAAGCTATTCAATGTTGGAATTAATTGGTGAGGTGAATTAAATTTCAAGAAAACAAAAACATGTTTCAGAAAGATTCTCTGGTCAGAGGTTTTTAATTTTGCATGAAGAAACTTCAACATGATATAATTGAAATAAGTGTGCAAATAAAATATGGGGGTCGCAAATTTAGGTCAGAGCTGTCACATCTTATTAAATAAGCTAACTTAATATTCTAATGTTAAGAGGAAGTGAACTTTCAACTTCTTTTACCGGCGTGAGACTGATTGTTTGCGCTGGTTTTCAAAGAAATTGTAACGTTTGAAGTGTATTGGATAGGAATTAAACTGGCAAACAAAACCCCGGCTCACCTGAGCACTTCTGTAGATGACACCAGGTCTGTGCACTAGATCTTCTGGATGCATAAAGTGATCCGAGTCACTCAGCTCACACATGTGTTTCTCTCCACTCGCACTTGTACCAAAGCTGTAGGATATACAGCGATCATCCAAGAAACACTGGGATTCGCAGTGCGCATCGTTCGTAGCTCGTACGGTTTTAAAGACGTGATTGGCCAGCGTCTTACCTTCAAGAGTCTCTTTAAAAACCATATCTTTTCCACAAGCATCTGCATTGACTAAAAGATGAATACATTAAAAACAGCAATAAACGCAAAAAAAAMCCCTCCAAATTACATTAAGCCATCCATGGGATAGACCTCTCCCGAATTCACTTGAAGCGGAGCTCCCCAATAAGAATAGAGAGCCCAATTTAGATAAAACTGAAAGATGAAAATAAAATCGGGCAAAAAATCTTCACTTTTTTCTTGTTCTTCGAGATGAAGATAATGTCCCCCATAGCAAAAAGCATGAAGTGAAAAAATGAAATCGAAATGCACTACATTGTTTCTCGCACAAATCTTTGTTTTCGACCTTAGTACTACTCTCCAACTTAGAAATTTTGTCACATGCACACAACCCACCACCAGCCACCCCAGAGGGTAGTTTTGTGCTGGCGAAATTCTTCGACAAATTTTTCCATGTATGGCCGACTGTTTTACATTTTGAATTCATGGTTGTTTTTTTTTGAAAAACGAAAGATAACTACAGATAATCCAATAAAATATCAAGTTTAGTGAAATTTTCCTTGGATCTTTCATTAAAATCCAGATTTTGGAGATTTCCGAACTTTCTAAGAACAAATTAACACTATAAAACAGACTTAAACACTGGTTAAAAAAGGTGAGCAAATTACAAGCTTGCTTTTACTTCTTTTACGTAACGATGTTTGGTTATCCATGAAGAGTTTTATTTTTTTATATGAAACGTATTATTACCGCATTGAAAAGTAAAAAAATTAATGTTTTGGTAGCAAAAGAGAGAAAATTAGCTGGAGATATATTATTAGTGGAGCACCACACCAAAAAATGGTAAAGCATTCGAGTTGATTTTTCATGGCTTGGCTGACGTCACTTCCGTCCGT